CTCCTCCAGCAATTAAAAGCAGAACAATAACAATATTCACAGATGACAGTGGCGTCTGTACAGTAGTTATGCCCTTCGTTAGTCTCAAAATGTTCCTCATGAATTAGTTAAGTCTGTTAATTGCACATTTATTGCACTCAAGGCCACGGAGAGAAACACTAAACCGCTCTCGAAAAAAAATAGCAGTTAAACACGTATAGGAATCATGAAAAATGAATCAAGCTTTTAAATTAAAGCTTAACATTGTGTGTGTTTGTATTTTGTTTTTTTAGTCCTACAAATTTAATTTACTTGCTATTTTATCTTTCAGGATAAAATGGAAAATTCTCATTGATCTAATCAAAGGGGCTACATTCACAATTATCATATTTTACTTTATTAAAGTTAATGACGTTATTAAAAAACAAGCATGCTTCACTGCTTGAAAATTAGCGATGGATAAACAATAAAAGGGAAATTCTGGAAACTTTATTTTGAAAGAAAAACAAACAAAAGTAACAGGCCTAATTATTCCAGTGCCTACATTTTGTGTTAAGTGCTTCCAAAACATCACGGTTACGATCATATTTCTTCAGAGACAAGAAAATAAGGCAAATATCAGAATCATCCGGCAGCATAATCTCTTTGTGTTTACACTTTATCATCGCCTTTTCTGATCTCTGGCGTGTTTCATTATGGAGTGATGTTTGAGTGACACTGTGCCGGCTGTCACAGCCATGTGCTGAGGTTCCCTCTCATTTCCAGCAGCAACAATAATAATGACTATTCTAGTGCTAGCCCCACTGTTTGTGTTATTGTTGTGGGGTGTCAGACACAGGCCCTGACGTTTGCTATGCTATCAGCAGGAGTGTACAAATACAAACACATTTGCCTGAGTTATTGACCTTTATCTCCCCACTTTCTTGACAGCCTTCTCCAGTTATTGACAATACAAACACATGGGACGGCGCATAACCTTTCATTTACAGAGCACTTTCTCTCTTTTTGTCTCTCTCTCTGTCTCCCTTGTTCTTCCTTTCCCTCAGTCTGCGCCTCTCTGCACTTGCAATTTGTTTAGATAAAATGGGGGCAGACAATGGTACTGCTCATTTCTGCCATTTTTCTTTCACTCCAAATTTCAGAGGATAATATCATTAGACTGATACAATGGCTGCTATTCAGCCTTAGATACACAGATATTTCAAGTATTCAATATAGTTTTGACATGCTGACATTAGGGGAGATTGTTGTTTCCCTATTTGTTTGCTTACAATGATGTTGATTCCATCATAAATCTTGGGTACCTAAAGCAAGATGTTTGTCTTTATGATGTTCAAATTATCAGTGAAATATATGTGGTCGGTAAAGTGAAAACACAAGGAATAAGCAAAAAGATGTACAAAAATAAAAACTGGATTTGAGAAACAAATATTTACACTGTAAATAAGGAACGTTAAGTTTTTACACTGAAAAGTATACAGTGAGCAGTTTTATTAATGCAAAATAAAAAACAACATAATTATTCTGAAAATTGAACTGAATCCACTAACCCATAATAAACAGTACAATTTACTGCATCTCAATACAGCATTGAATAACAATGGTCATAAAACCACTAGTATTCCACTAATGATTCTCCTCCAGGATTTATTGTGTTTTTCAATGTGTGTCCTCTTGCATTTCAGCGTGAAAAATAGCGTACATAAAATACGGGTGTCCCCACCAGTCGGCCCTCTGCAGGTACTTCAGAGCCCCAAAATTAAATTTTAAACAATCCAGACCAGTGTTTGGTGACCATGGTTAATCATCAAGAAACAAAGACATCAAACAATATTTGATAATGAGAAAAATGCCTCCAGGATATTAGGGGATGGGGGGAGAGCACAGCATGAGCCTCGTCAGCAGAGCTAGGTAGAGAGGCCAGACCAGACACAAGCCGCATTCACGTGTCTGTGTGTGGTGATGGTGGGTGTCTGTGTGTGCGTGTGTGTGTGTGTGCCTCATACACAAAAAAACACTTATGCACGCACGCACACATCATGGTGTGTCGCACACACCAACGCTTGTACACACACACCTCGTATGGACTAGAAATAAAAATTTAAAAAGCCACTTTTTTTTTTCAAAGTTCCTGACGAGATAATTAGAATTCAGTGTATGGAGCCATTGGTGAGATTAGAGCGTTGTGAAATTGTGCTTCATTTTGAACTTCACTGCATCACGCCTCAACCCAATTATCTACAGTTAAAATGGCTTAGTGAGGCTCCAAACTGTGACTGACAAAAATACAGAGCAACCTAAAAAGTTTTCTTTATAGATAAAAGTAATTACGTTGCACCATAAAAAAGCTAAATAGCTAGACTTCTATTTTCTCTGAAAATACATGCAACGTTCAAATCACACTTTGACATCTATTAATATACATTAAGAGGTTAGTGATGGAAAAATATTTTATTATTTTAAATATTCAAGTTTTTTTAAATCGTATATATTTTTTTAAATTAGGAATTTATGCTTTCAGTAATAGATGCAGATCCAGAATGGCTTCATTTTCATCAGGCCAGTATAATTAGTCCTAACTAAAATAAGAAGTTGGGTAGCCAGGAAGAGGGAGGGAGGGGAAGTGGTGTTGGGTAATGAGAAGAAAATGTTTTTTCCCCTCTTCCTCTGTCATACTGTTATTGGGTTATCCTTGATTGACGCAGCGTTAACGGCCGGGCCAAATCAAGGCAGATCCAGCAACCTAGGCCGAACGGCAGCATGTGCAGCCACCTCGGTCATGCAAATTGCACTCGGGCAGCCCGTTGACTATGATTAATGAGTTTGGGCTGCAGCCTTTGTTTCCGCATGCAGCCGTTTAGAGTGAAATACAATCCCAAAATATTATGAATCTCCTATTAATCCAGTAAATTTGCTCACATTGCACATGTTGTTTTGGGCGATTTACAGATTTACAGCCAAATGTGTGTGTGTATGTTTGCACATATGTGTGTGTGTTTGTGTTAAGGGGATGAGCACAATTGTATTTAATTACATGTCCTCTAATTAAATTCATTAAAAGATAATAAAATAAATGAAAGAAACAGCTTTGAAAGCTTAGGTGAAACACATGTGTCTTGTCTCCCATGATGTAAAATATGGATGTGGGATTTTCAGGGGCAGTCATGCTGTACAGGGGGGATGTATGAATCCGATACCTTGCTAATACTACAGGCATTTCCTGGTTATGGTTTGCCTCATGTTTAAACTGTGATTTTTAGAGCTAAGATCCCAGACTCCCTGAAGATTGGAGAGCAATTCTGTGTTGCAGGGGAGTGAAGTCACTGGCTTCAGTAATGGAATAAAAGGAACATTATGACAGTAATGCTGACGATCTAGTGTAACAAAATGCTCTCTTTGTAACGTGAGTAATATCACTAGATATGGTAAGGAGGGACTATGTGTAAGACATGGGAGGGCTTGCAATTTCCTTAAACTATGTGATGAGTAACGGAAATTACACAGCCTCACAAATCTTCAATTCATTGTCAGATACTGTTGATAAAAAACACTTCTTATGCATGCACGCATTTTCCTCTTCTCCACAGATACACACTTTCCCTCTGCTGCCAGCAAAATGTAAATGTTTTCCAGGCATTAAGGTATATAAGTGCCATTAGTGGAACAGTGCTTAGCACTACAATGGTGTGCCGAGAGCAGTGGAGCAGAGATCAGTGCAGCATCTCCTGGATATCAGAGGGAGACATCCTTTGTAAATTCATCTCCTACTGTGAGACGGCTTCACAGCTGGTTAGCGACACTGGGTGTACAACTGCCCTGTTTACACGCAGTCTCCAAAGCACTCATCTTTCACCCGGTATCTTTTCCCTGCATCCTCTCCATCACCTCGCTCTCTCTTTCAGCTCTAATCACAGCCTGCTGTGGCTTTCTTAGCCATCAGTAAATGCATACAGATATAAACTTATTCAATACAAAAATGTGTGCTTACACACACACATAGGAGTACATAGAAGGGCAAGAGTAGACACCTGCAAACAACAAAATCTCTGATCCCCTAGCTTTTGAAGCCATTACAATACACAGCCTTCCAACCCCTTCTCTGATTTTTATCATTTTATACCATTGCATTACACTGGTCCTTTTATACCTATTACACACACGGCTCCCCACCAAAACCCCTGATCCTCTGATACCTAGATGGGTAAACTGCTCCTCCTGCCCCTGACCTCAGCCCTTTGTAGCAATCAGACCAGACTTCCTCAGTTGCCCTGATCTTATCTAGCTATACCAATCCCACTACACAGCTCCCTTTTGTAACAGCTACAGAGCGCTGAGCCCTTTCAGACCCAGGCACTATGCCGGTGAACACAGAGCCTAAGACCTCAGCTCATCTCAGACATCATACTACACTGCCCAACAACAATGACTGCTATTTTCTGACACAGCACAGGTCAGATAGAGCCTTTCTGCTCACTGATGCATTGTTCACTCAGAATGCAGAAAACCAAAAGAATGTTTGACTCAGCCATAGAAGAGACTAATATAATTATACAGGCATACAGGTGATAATACAGATTAAAAATAAATAAATAAATAAAAAATACACATTTTGAGTCCTGTTATTTGTGACAGCGATCATCTTTCATTTTTTATTTTTTTAGGAAAATAAAAATCAAACAAAAATGAACTGAAGAAGACAAAAGATTTAAAAGAAAATCTATTAGTGAATGAGCTTTAGCACTATTCCACAGAGACTAATTATACAGTAATGCCATTGTAAAATTATATTGATCTCAAGGGATGTATTTGGTCTTAAAGAATTACTCCAATCTTACTGTTGTTTAAAACAACCAATTTTTAACTGTTAGATTCATAATCATTAAAAGACACACAGCTTCAAGTTAGAAATGTTACAGAAAGCAAATGTTTATCCTTCAAAGTTTCACAGTTGTTTCTTCTATACAGCAATCCATTTGAATTTTTTACGTCTAATTTATGTCGTGCAAATTGAACCAATATACCTTTACTGCTGAGAGAGGATGCTGGTGGATACTGGGGGAGCCCAAGACTGGAGATGACCCACAACATTTCCCATAGGAGGTAATTGTGGAGTCAAGGGGTAACAGATGTCATATGACTCTCATTGAACCACTATAAAAAGGTGAGAAAATATATTTAGACACTTTAATTTCAATTACTGCGCTAAATACGGAAAATAAGAATTTTTGAAAAACGATGGACTCAGCTATAAAGATACTGCGTCTTCAGTTCTTTAAAATGTAAATAACTATTTTTAAAAATAAATCAGAAGTACAAACAAAAGAGCCATGTGTCTGAAATCGCTGCATGAACCCTTCGCTTTACATGAGACTGAGTGTTGCGGTACAAAATATAAACTTTATGGTCAAAGCTAAAAACTATTTGTTTCAGCCATCGTTTTTTTTTTTCATCCCCAGTGAGTGCCATAAATGTAAACGCAGAACCAAAACCATGGCTAGAAGTGTGTTAAATCTGTCACGCTATTAGTGAAACTGTAGTTCACATACGCATTAGGGAGGCGTTCCCTTATTTCTCCCAGTCACCGTGCCTCTATTTCTCCATTACAACCTTTCCCTTAAAACAAAAGAACAAAAAACATAAGCGTTTTCCCTAACAGCACAGTTCATGTATTCCAGAGCCGCTGGACTGCAAAATACTTGAAGAATGTAACAGGAGAGCCTGTATCTTATCATTACTAATACCTACTCGTTTTTGCGTGCGTCGTTAACAGCCGACGAGAAGGCAGTTCCAGTGACCAACACGTCTTAGCTAGGCACCGCCTTCGCGCTACAAAGTAACCAATCATCTGTCGGCATACTCAGCTCCTTGGATTCTTCTACCAATCAACTCGGTGTTCACATGAAAGTAACCCCCTTCAACTTCCTAGCGGGAAGCAGCTATCGGGGACGGTACTAGGACTGCAGGAATTAAGAGTAAAGATCCCTTTTTCATGGTATTTATTGCTTTTGAGCTATTTTTTGCAGCATGTTGCACACAATAGACATGAAGCCGACTAATACCTTGGTGAGACCGAAGGTTTTACGTTATGATATGCCCTTAGTGTTTCGCAGGTGTAACATAAAGCTAGGTTTGGTTAGCGGTGCAGCTACTAAAACAGTAAAACAGCTGTTTTTGACAGCTGTCAATGACCTGACACCCTCGCAGGTCGCGTTGTCACAACTTTGTGCAGAAGCATGTGTTGATCAGATTCTCTTCCCCCCTTCAAAGATGAGACTGTCCCGAGCAGAATATAAAGAGATAGTGCGATGGACTGAAAAACTGAGACCTACACGCCGATGCATGAAGATACTGAAGGACAAGTTTCCAAGGTGAGTGTGTACACACTGGATTGCATTCAGTGTGTGTTTCCGTTGCATTTGCCAATTGACTGTTACTGTACTCCAAGTGCATATTAATGTCTGACATAGAAAGTAAACACCAAACTGCTGCGTATGAGCATCAGTTACCACACATTATAAAACAATGAGTCAAGACCAAAAGAAGCCCAAACAAGATGTCTTTGGATTATTGGAAATTAATTAATGTATCAGAAAGCTTGTTTATTTAAATTATATTGTTATCATCTGAGTACAGCTCCCCATAGCCAAGTAATCCCCCTCCCCCCCTCAGTTTTATCTCCTATTTTTCAGCATTTGTGATCCTATTTAATTCACTTGTTAAGATCACTAATTAATTCCACACAGGTTTCTGTATTGGCTTCCACCACAGCATTAGCCAGCGTTTTGCCATGCAGGTCCTGCACATCCAGAAATCGAAGAGAGAGGTTAATGGTTGTATTTGCCTTTCTCCTTGACACTGAAGGCCCTCCTGTTATTGACTGTAACATGTGTAATCCCCCAAGGCCTCCAGGACAGCATGGCTGATCCCGTCGAGGTCACTTACAAAGTCGCATGTATTTGGAGCTTCCTACTTCCATTGTGCCCTAATCACCAATCTAGAAGAAGGTATCAGGTCCCCAAAGGGGATGCCATGGAGTTTCAGTTTGCCTTTGTTCTCACTGTCAGCATTTTACGGAATATGTCATGCATATAAAATGCATCCAATATTGCTCATGTTTAAGCACTGAAACACTGAAGTCTGTCTAGCGTTTATTTCTTTTTTGTATTCTCACTCAAACTGCCTTTAACAAACATACCAAATGCCATCTTTTGTACTGGAGTGTAATAATTAAATGAAAACACTGCACCGTTTTCATTCCAGTAATTCTTCACAGTCTTCCTCTCCCAGAGGTGCTTGCTCTTTTGTTTAGTCTTGCTGGTTATTATTTTTACGTTCACTATAACCAATCTCGGGGAGGCCCTTGCTCTTTAAATCCCTGAGTCTCGTCACTGGGCCTGACAGACAGGCACGGCAGCAGTGTTTTCACAGTCTGCGAAATTATTCTGGTTGTCCAATCAGCTGAGCTGGGCTCTGGAGGGTTAGTGATTGGACTGGCAGGAAATCAGGCTCTTAAGACATAACATATCGACTAGGCCATCCATCATCTCTTAGCATGCGCTCAGGCACAGCAGTCAGCCACCCCCACCCCACACACCCCCTGTCCCCTTAGACTGTGTGGGAGCCCTGCCATTGCGTAAATATTGGCCAGGCTGGGCCTGGCAGTGGTTGGGTTGGAGGGGGTTTGGGGCTTTATTGTGGACAGGCTTGGACTAAGGGGATGGGCAAGAGAATTGGTTATTACAGTCAGGAGAATAGACAGTTGCATTGATACCAAATCATTTTGCAATATACTATACCTGTTTTCCAGGGGATGGAAACTGTTGAATAAATTGTAAATTCATGTGTTGTTTACAAGTATAATAGCAGAGGCATGAAGTTTATTTAGATAGTGATATTATTTTGCTACCCTGTAATTGTATTTTATTCAGGGTTTCTCTTTGGCCAACATAGCCAGAGCCAGCACTGTAATAAATATATATATTTTCAAACCTCATTTTGTTAATTGCAATATTATTTACTCAGTTAAAATCAATATTGAGTAGAAATGGCATGAAATGCACATATTTCTGTCAAAGAAAGTAGCACAGTCAGTGCCTTAATTGTATGCATGTAGTTAACCACTAAAGGTTGACTTTGAGTCAGTAAACACCATATAGTTTTCTTTTATGCTACATTAATCTGATTTATCCAATAAGTATATGAAAATACTTCACAGGTGAGCGTAAAGGCATCCTACTGATGTAATATATTTAGGTCTAGGGAGTTATTAGTTACTGACTTTAGGTGAAATCATAAATGATTTGATGGTCCTCTGTGGTCATTTTACAGTTCTGCTCTGGCTGAATTCATTTTTTTATGCAATTAAAGTTAAAATGTATTAATAAAAGGAGTTGATATAAAAAGGATCTTTCATCATATATTATAGCTACAGATCTACAGTAGATAGATGTTGACTAGGTTGAAAAAAATCTTTATTTGTTAAATTTCTTACAGTTCTTTCCCCTTTAGTTGTTTTTTTTTTTTTAAATTCTGTTAAAATAATCATTACCCCAAAGGATCTGAATGCTGTATAGAGTTCAAAATCATTTCATAGTCATTGCTTTTGATTGGGAACTTAAATGGAAGAGAATTTAAACTTGGAACAAAAAGATTGTTATAGGCCATTTCAAGGTAATTTCCACAGAGAGTCTGTCGGTCTTTTGCTTGTATTATGAAAAGCGTTTGTGGGAGGAGAGAGGGAGTGTCCTATAGACAGACAGAAAGAGAAAGATTGTGATGTGGAGTCCCTCATCTGTAACGGCTGCATAACACAGATGTTGGGAGTCATCTGTCAGCCTGGCCTCTCTTGCTGGGCCCGAGCTGCTCTGGGGGGAAAAGAATTGGACACGGTGCTGTCACTTTTTACCCCCACTCACAATGGAGGGACATGCAAATATCAACCCCCGTTCTTGCCCTCTCTTCTTTGCCCTCCTCTTAGCCAGTCGTGGTGTCCTGTCTACTATCTGGACTGTGGCTAGGCAGAAAAGGGGGATGGGGGGCCGATCGCAGGCTGGTGTGGGGGGAAATGTGACATCAGTCCCATCAGGTCCTTCTCTTGCCACATATTAGAATTGGAAATGATGGGCTGCTCTCTCAGGCCTTGCCTGTCTTCCCATGGGTCTAGAGGGGACCCCAGTCCTTCTACCACTTGTCCCCCGAGAGAGTTGGTGCAAGAAGGGCAAGATAAAGAGGGAGGGAATGTGAGAGTCCTCTGTGTCCTTCTGTGCTATATTATGAATGAATTGGGATGTAATGATCACCCCCCTCTTTAAAATGCCATTCAGCTCCTTATATGGCTTTCACAGTGATGAAAGTAAAAGAATGAGCAAAACGGGGCAGATGCGGCTGATTTGCAAAAAAGAAAAGCTTAAACAGTAAAGTGTGAAGCATCTTTCCCCACTAAACACAATCAGCACCTCTCTTTTATTCACACACACACATACACACACGCACAGACACAGTTCCCTGGTGAGGAGTCCCTGAACGTTTTTCGAATCGGGCCCTAATGTGCCGTTTTCATCAGCACTGAGGCGGGCTGCAATATGGTGCTGGAGCTCGCTCTGGGAATATGAATGTTGATTAAGCATGCGTTCAGCCTTTTGAAATTCTGAAGAAGTGTCAGAATAATGGATGTTGAGCAAATGTCAAGCATTTGTTAATTTCTCTGTTATTTGGGGTTTATCTAGCATGATCTTTGGAAGGAAAGCGCAGGGCAGGGTTGTTGTGGCATGTGCCATTGATATGATGATTTCTTGGCTACACTTTGTTTTTGATGGTAATATCTCAGCTCAGCATGAAGCTCAGGGAATTGCTCATTGATTATTTATTGTAGTCATATTGTTTACCTCTTTACATGGCGGTTAAAGTTAAGGATTTGATAACAGGTATAATATGGTGGAGAAAAAAAACATTAAATATCGCTTTTTTTTCCCAGTGTGTGGTATTTATTATTTGTTCACAGCTTTCAAGGGCTCATTGCCCACATTTTAGGTATATCAAAGTCTTGGCATATATGTATTAAATTCCTGGCTTGTTTCTCAGTTTTAACTTTGATTTCTATGATTGTCCCTGTGGAATCAACTGATTTTCTCTTTCCAGCTGCTGTGCTGTGAAGGTAGAACTCCACAAGTATTTTGTAGGCTGGAAGTGGCAATGACATTACCCAGAGACTGATCAAGTGCAGAGCCTGTGGGGCCAGCCCCGACAGCTTCCAGTGCATGGCCTCACACTTCTGGCTGCCCATATTGAACAAAACACAAACTGGCAGTTGGGGCTTAGGGGTACAACCCTTGAAGGCTGGCTAAATAATTCCACGCCTTTATGTGGTTAGATGAGCACTGGAAGGGTGAAGGGATGAATGAAGTGTTAGCAGAGAGAAGGTGTGGAAAGAAGAGAAGCTGAGTATACAACTTCATGTCAGGCTAAGGAGTTCATGAATAATAGATGTAATCAATTACTTGATTAGGAAGCAAAGGAATGGCTACTTCCTTCTCATATCAGAGGGATGTTGTCCAAGCACATTCCATAGAGTGCAAAGCCTTTTTGGCTCATTGGTCTAAAAACAAAGAGGTAAGCAGCTTGTTTTTGAGTTAGGCCTGATAGAAATTACATGGTCCCTTATCGTGAAGGTTAAAAACTGCATTTACTGGAGCGATAGACTGAGTAGGTCAATATTAGTAGAGTAAAACTATTGATATGGTACTCTAAGAATAAGAGCAGCATCTGCTGTACTGTATGCTAGTGTCAGTAGTAGTGTTGTCACTGAACCCCCCCAAAAAACATATGTACTCTGAGGGAAACCTACAGTTCAGCTGGGCAGTTATATCAGAGTCTCTAGCCTGGGGTTCTCTTTGCATACTGGAATCAATTGCAGACGAAGAATGAAACAAAATTGCCCAGAATGGTACAAGTTCCCCAGCTGCGCTTGGGGGAATAGGCAATTGGTCAGTGTAATGTGTTTCTTTGCCAGACCAGTGGACACTCGCCACTTGACGGATAGCATGAACCTCATTTTCTGTTTTCCATGAGAGCTTGCAGAAGCAGCAGTGACAGTAATTATGCTTTAACAATGGCAAAATACTATAGTTATAGCACGTCTTTGCACAGACGGAGTGGTGAAGATCCCTTGCTTTCAGGAGGAATCACAATTAGAGTGGTGATTGTAAAGGTTTTCTTGCTCTTTTTACCGCCATTATATAACAGCTCTGACAACTCAGGGCACCTCAACAGACAGAAATTTTAAAGATTGTAATAAAGTAAAGGAAGCTCAGTAGGGGTCATATTGTGCCTCTGCTAAAACCATTTCTGTCCATGGTCCCCTACAGCCTTGTAGGTTTGTATGGCCTGCTGCGGTAAGATTGTTGGGGGTGGGGGTTTCTTCACAGTACAAACTGGTGAGTCTTCCTTCAGATGGAGAAATATCTTGAAAATATTGTTTAAAAGTGACAAAAAAATTGCACAAAAATTTCTATAGCTTTCTAAAATGCAACAGTCATTATGTTAATTGTGCTTAAAAGGAAAAAAAAGCCTTTATACTTGTTTTTGCAGAACAAAAATTGCAAATATTTAAACTCTAAACACGTGCGCTCATTGTGCAAGTATTTGTTTGAAGCTAAATGACACACTGAGATTTGTGTTTGTTTCTATCCGTTGTCAGAATATATCACATTTATACATTAATGTATAAAGATTTTTTTTTCAACTCATTTGTTTGGCTGCTGATGACGCTAGGCTTAGCTGAGAAACAGATGTTAGCATTTTGCCTATCAGCATGTGTAATTAACAACATTTGCATATCCAGCGTTTTAGCCCGTATTCAGCTGTATAAAATACTGATCTATAGCAAAGTAAGTGCTTCATATAGTATTGTCAGCACTCTTGTCTGAATGAGGTGTTTTGATGGTAAATAAACCTAAATATGTGAAAAAATAATGGAATTAAACTTCAATAATAATGTAATGTAGTATAGGTGTAGAATTTAAACTAAGCCTTATCCTCTCAGATTTCCTTGCACAAAATATTTCTTCCATGTCATTCCCTTCTGAAAATTGTTTCATCGCCAGCAGTAAAAATATGTGCTATTAGACAGTTCCATGCCCTGAAGAGTCACACCATTCAACACACTCTGCATGCAGATCCACCAAATGCTAAATACTGTCGCAGCATATGATACCAATGCCATTAGCCAGGTGGCTTTCATTACCCAAATTACAGCTATTGTTTATAATTAATTATTTGTAAATAGGAAGTTTCCAAATATAATTGATAGTTTGAATTTCCCTCATCTCCTATTAATTAGGTTGATGGGAATTTCAAGGCTTTTCACTGTGTTCGTGTTTAAGGCAATGATACAGCCTGAATGCACAAGAAAATAAGTTAATGCAGCACTCAAACTTGAATTTATCAGATTCACAGCCACTGGGTAACCTAGCTTAATAGAGCCTGAAGTACTGACCAGACAGCCATACCAGTTCAGTGACAAAGTGAAAGTCCCTAATTGTTTTTAATTTAATCTGCTGCTTTACTATTTTGGGTGCCAGTGCATATTAATGCTCTGTCTTATGTTGTAAGGAAGGGTAATTAGGTTGAGAGTGAATGATTCCCTAACCACTCTTCTGTCTCCCAACCTTCTGTTTCCCCATGTTCTAAATTATATCCGAAAGGGCAGATTTTTTATTTTCTGCTTTTTACATAAAAGCCACTGTAAGTGTGCACTGCAGTGTCACAGACTCTTGTCCGTGGCTCTTCAAATTATATTTTGTGTGTTCTTTGTTTGATGAGATTGATTTTTTTTTTTTTTAAGTAAGTGAAACAGCGATCAATGAACCCATATGTTGACCTTGGCAAGTGCATTAAAAAATAGCTTTCTTTATTTACACAATTCACAAAGGGCTCACGACTTCCTAGCTTTAGTCACAGAACTGTTTTAGGCTTCACTTTAGGAAGACAAGTGTCTAATATATGTTATTTTAAATATTCGTAGTCATTGTCAGTTACAACCACATCACCAAGAGATATTTAAATATTAGAAAAGGTGGAAAACCTTGTTACCTTATCATCTTATTTCAAAAAAATGTTCAAAGCTGTTTTATCATATCCTAACATTTCCATGTGTTGCATATTGACACTAAGCATTTGGCTGTGCGTATCATGTGTGCAATTCATAATAAAATGCAAGCTACAGGATTTGTTTAAGGCTAACAAAATACAGTCAGAAATGCAGCTGGTTTTAGAATAGTTAACAAATTGGGTTCATTTTTATAACCACTGAGACAGGACAGAGTTTCACAAATGCTTGTACTGTGTGGCAATGGGATACATGAATTATAGTAAAAATGTAATACTCCTGTTCAGTAGGCAGATCAAATCCTCGCTGTAAGATGGCAATTGGCTACATATTTTAGCATAAGGTGAGCTTACTGCGCCCAAGAGAGGACAGGCTGGATATACATTAATGTAAAGTCTGCAATAACTTATTGTTAATGTCTGTTAAATAAAAAAAGGGGGATTATAGCAGCATAAAACTTGACAGACTCTATAAAATGCAAACAAGTCTTGGTTTTAATCCAGATATCTGCATTCAGCTCTTCATTTTGCCCCTTTTTAATGTTTTTCCTTTTTTTTTTTTTTAACTATTTCTTCACATCTCTAATTAGTTTAGTTCGAGTCTTGTTTTTGTGTCAATCTGCTTGAGGTAAAAATGAAAACACAAGTCCCCAAAGTTCTTAGTGTTTTTGAAACAGATATGTTTTCATAGATATTAAGCGTCGTTTATGTCCCTTTAAAGTTAACAGGCTATAGATTTAGCAATTAAGCAGTAATCATGCTCATTATAGAGAGTAATCCATTTAAAACGTAACAGATGTCTGGTCCGACAGGGGGATCATGATGGTCCCATGCCAACAATAAGGCTGTAATACTGTCGAAATGCTCAGGTGCAAGGTTGAAGTGTGGAAGAAATTTTTTCCCTCCCTTAAGTGTCCACATGTTGACAGTTGACCATTTAATGGCCCACTTAATTGCGGTGGCCCCTTCACCCCTAAGCATCATTATAAATTAATGCTGAGGGGGTAGACAATTTTTCCCCTCACACTCTGAGAACTTCCTTTGTCGTCTTCTTTACTTTTGTAACTTTGTGTGTGATGAGAATCGGGCTGCTTTAACATGTGGTGCTCGATTACACCAAAGTCTAGTATGTTTGATATGTGTGAACACTGTATACTGCCCCACGGGCATGGTACGATGATTTGTGTCCTGCTTCTTGATGAAGAGCCAAACTTAGGAGTGCACGAGACATACTTGAGTATCGTGTGCATCAGATGAAAAAATCTGTATCAAACACATGAGATGAGGTTTGAAGGATTGCACGACTGTGTGGACCGTCTTCATTTGCACACCCAAAACAAAACCACCAGTGACGTGAAATACTGCTCAACTTCGGAATACTTCAATAACATTATCAAGTTGTTAGAACTGTTGTGTCAGTAAGATTTGGTGCATGTTTTATTTTGCATATGGTGGTTGGGAAATAAGCAGGGAATTGAGGGGGGGGGGTCGCAGTTGTTCTTGGACAGTGTACAAATTAATTGTACCTAATGTGGAAGTATCCTTAGCTGTTCTTCAGCTACAGGATTAAAATTGTTTAAAAGTGGTGTCTAGGGATCCCAAGAGGACTTCTTTGGTTCATCATAACAGGCTGAACTATTCCAATGGTTAAGATGCTTTCTTTAAAAAATGGTCACAGACAGACATTCCAGACAGAAATCAGGATTTGACATTCTTCTGGCTTTGTTTGCATGTCACAAGGGTATTTTACGGTTTCTAGTGATTGATGTCGGTGTCCTGTGTAGACTCAATATTTTAATACAGATTGGAAGCTTCAGCTTCTCATGAGTATTTACATACCATTCCCAGGTGACTTGTAATGAAAAGTCCATTAAATTTAACAATCAAGTGTACTGAGTGCAGTATATGGAGACATAAAACCACTTGTGAAAATTACGGAGCAGTTTGTGGGTGTGTGTGTATGAGAGCACACATGTTTCTTTTTTTTTTTTTTTTTGTGATATGCAAGCTGAAGACGTGCACAGTCCAACTCCTATAATTTGTGTCACTCATTTAAATATCTGTAACTCTAAGGACACAATGGCAGCTAAGGTGGGTATCGAATGGGCTGCAAGTCCCTGTTGGAACTGTCTGTTTTCCGGGTTTGCCTCTTTGCCAGGTGTTTGACATTGACTGGAGCTGGAGATAAATGTAGCTTATGGCAACCCATGGAATTGACTGACTCTCGGGAGTCACATATAGTGAAAGTTTCCATTTCAAAGCCCATCCGTTGCAGTGGGAATGATATAGAACGGTCCATATGCTATCAAAGAAAGTACTTTTTTTTTCTTATGCGTGTCTACATGTTGTCATACACAAAAAAAGACACTCACAGTAGTCATCCACTTTGCACATTAAAGTAAAAAGCATACACTTGGGTCAACATGTTTCTTGGAGAAGAAGAAGATTTTCATAAAAAATGTTTTTACACCACAACAATGGATTCACAATAAGACAATCCAGATATGATTGTGTAGCATTTCAGCTTTAATTTCATGGGTTTACCTAAAGTATTATATAGGAATTACATCCACCATTTCCACAATTGGTCATTTTTCACAAGCTCAGAAATTTAGCATTTGGTTATGTCCAACTGTTCCAGCTTCCACATATTTATAGTCATGCTAGTTTATCCACTTACTTTTAAACCTATGAAAACTATGACTGTAATTGCTAGTGAATACCACGCTTTACTCACTAGTTAAATATTGATCTGTGTCAATTATTTGCATAGATATAAATTTCTCTTCAATTTTGTTATCTTTAGATTGGTTGGAGTTTTCTTGCCATCGTGTTACTTTATAATAGCAGACTCTGCACTTGAATTAAGATTAGTTTAGCACTTTCCTGGAGAGACAAAGGATAGAGGAAGATGCTACGTATTAATGACTAAATGAAAAAAACAAAAATGAGCTATATTTTTCTCATCTTTCATACCCCACACAGCCTCCCTTTTTTTCTTCCCCCACACCATCGTAGCAGGAATCCTTTTGTCAGAGGTGTTCATCTGGAACAACTTTGCCACACTTGTTTTCATGTTCTTTTAGATTACAGGGCAGCTGGCCCCAGCTTTGAAGCTCCCTTCTCCCTTTGTCTCTGTGCAATGCACTCTGGTAATTAACTTTGTCCTTCTTTTATTTGTTCCAGTCACTCGCAGTCCACTCTTCTGAGCATCTTCTCCCTGGAGTACCAGGTTAGAAGTTTTCTTCCTTTGTGAGCCCTGACAGGTGCCTAATTGAATGATGAATGTCCCTTTATTTCTTTGTAATTGAACTGCCAGCTTTCTGATTGGTTTGGAGGATGTCCCCCCCTCACCATACCCCCGTTTATTTCGCCCCACACCACCACCCCCTCCTCCTTCTCACGTTCACGTTGAGGGCCTTTGCCTGCCTGAGCCTCAGTGGATGTCTGCCAAGCCTTCCCATCCATCTGTCTAATAACATCTAGCCCCTGCTTATTTGGTGGACCTGTAATAAATTATGCTAAACCATTATTATTCTGACAATAATAATTTCCCCGTGTAGTGCGGCTGTGTGTGCTAAATGTTTGCTGACTCGCACTGTCACTGCTGCTTTCCACGGCTGACAGTGGATGATGATAAATGGCCACTGCCGCCAGTGGCAGAAGGCAGCACAAGCAGAAAATGGAGTCATTTATCATCCCACTGACAGGTGTCAGTCACACTGCCCGTCTCTGTGGAATTACATTTTTTTGTGTGTAGTAGTTTTTAAATAAGTTGTTTTTAACCAGTGCTCTTCCGCTATATCCCCTGTTCTCCTTCTTCTCGGCAACGATGGCAATTGAATTGCATAGAAATGTCAGGGTGTGAAATGTGGAATAATGTCATTGTTTGATCAAAAAAGGAGAAGTGAATACAGGGTTTGAATCAAGAAGGTAGATGGAGATAGCTGGTTTGAACGAGAGTGCCTTGGCACAGTTTGACCCTTACCAATATCATTGAAATTAAATTGCTGCTGCAATTGTTCATAAAGAATAGAGCATGGAAGAGAAGCCAAGGGTGAACAAGTTAGCATTTTAGTCAGGTCAACCGGAAATGGAAAGCACTTTGTGCCTAAAAATAGTACTAACTTAAGAGCTGTATCTATGCCTATGTGTATGTATCTGTGTGTACGTGTTAATTGTTTTAGCTATTATGATTATTATGCCATTAATCTTCATTTTTCTTCATATTATTATTACATTTAAAGAAATGGATCAAAAGGACATTCTCAAGACACCATGTGCCGGATGTTATTGAAAGCTACTACCAAAGGTATTGTGTTTCCGTGCTTTATATTGTTTTGTTTTCTTCTGTTTTCTTTCTAGATCGTTCTCCTTCTTTATCGTTTTCTCATCTCTCTTACTGTTTTTCTTCTTCCTTTAAATTGTTCACCGACCCCTGTGTGTGGCCTCCATGACAATTATAATCTCTTACAAACAAATCACCACCCACAGGATTCATTCCCGACCCCCACTTGCACCTGCTAGGCTAAAGCTCTGTTCTCCGTGTCAAACTGAAAGCAGGAAAGTAAATAAATAAACCAACCATTGGACATTTGCCTTACACACAGGCTTATGATGGGATGATTATCTGTAATTCAATGAGCATGGTTAAATTTAAAAAAAGAAAAGAAAGAAAGAAAGAACTGAAAACAGACTGTATTGGGAAAAGCCTCTTTGCATATTGCAATTAGCCTTTATCTAGCTTATTAGGCCACTGTTCTGGAGAAAATAAAGCTGGATAATGCACTTCTAATCTACTTACAACAACAAACCTCTGAGATGATCTGGGTAAGATCTGAAGTGTGTTGCAGGTTTAGCTGGCGAGGGAAAAAAGGCTTTTTGGGCGGCAGGGGTTAACTAACTATCATATGCTTGTCTGGCTTCTTGGAAATTTGAAGCCCTTCAAGCAGTGCTGTTTTAACCACACGGAGCCTGCCATATGCCACCCAGGGCAAAGTCATCTGGGACATTAGCATGTCTTGGCTAGCCCGATCTAGCCCCCTTCTACCCTTCTGTCTGCCTTTGTGGGTCATGTTTTTTTTTTCACTACTCTTGTTATTCTTTGTTATAATGAAGGTATCTGAGTGAAGCCAAGGCACAGCCTACTGCTCCTGTCCTGCTTGAATTGGCCAATGAGGTAATGGCATAACTTTTTTTTTTCTGTCTTTTTACTTGCCAATGAAAAACACATCTGAGTTTATCCTTTATTTTTTCTATAAATGGATAGATAGCAGTTGGCTGCAGTTTTTGATTTTCTTCCTTGTCTGTTAGTCATTATCAAAATTGGTAAAATGGTTGGCTCAATTATCAATTATTTAATGTAATTAGCGCTCGGCTCCATTAAGCAGATGTGAAAATACTTTTTCTGTTTTATTATGTAATTTTCCAAATTGCAGTTGAGGCAGAGTTGATACAAACTGCGGACAGGTGAGACTGGGGTCATTAGTTAATTCCTCTCTTTATTATTTGATCTGTTATTTTCTTTGCGAGTTCAGTGAAGAATTTGTAGTCTTGTTGATGTAGCAGCAATTGTTTATGTGCAGCTTAAATCCATGTCATTCAGTGGTACAAAACTCAGGTAGGTTGGAAATTCATGCTGTAAGAAACCTGTTTCTTTCAGAATTTAAGTGATCACTTATATTTATTATATTTTAAACCTAGTTAGTAAATGTTTGCTATTTTTAGGGTAATGCCAAACTCTTGTTAAGTGTTCCAAAATATAAATCCAACTATACTATAGTCTCAATACACTACATCTTAGATGGTTACATTACTTCTTACTGAATGAATGAAAATCTTTGCATTCATTTTTTGTAAGTTCACGACATTTTTCGTCTTACAGATTATAAAGGAAGAGAAAAGGCCCGATAACCTTTTTAAACATTTAAATTTGCATTTGAATTTTGATTGGCGCGTGCACTAGGCAATGAAATTCGAGGGTCTCTTAATCTAAAATCACAGTAGTTCACATGCATCAGTGGTACCTCAAAGCCAACTGCCATTATTCATTCTCCGTTTAATTGACGCTTGATTTTTTTTTTTTCTTGAAAGGATCCAATTCAGCTAAGAGATAACTGTCTATGAACCATTTAACTGTCATCTTAATATGCTACTTAACATTTAAACCAAGCACTCATGGTCTCCCAGACTGCTAATTGATGTAGTTTCATGTCTTTATGAGACAATATATCTCCAACAGAGGAAAATGATTAACAGTGATGAAAACTATTCATAGATATTTTTTTGCCCTTAGAAGAAGCTCATGAAACAGAGATGGACTCAACATTCACTGTTTCTATCTTTATGGGAATTTTATGCAAATATTACTTGAATATGGCATTAGAACAGGTGCAGTTGTGCTGCACTGTGCGACCCATTTTGGTTTACAGTTTGATAAAACCAGAGTTTTAATAAAAACGAATTCTTTTTAGGCTCTGTGATTCTTAGTCACATGTTAAACTCATGAAGGTATGTGTTATGACCAGGGAATGAAGATGGACTCATGATTAATATGAAAATTAGGGAGATGCATGTACCTCAACTAATCAGGTAGTCTTTATTCAGGCTGAGCCTGCATTGGTAATGTTGCCATTTTTCATGTGTCAGCTCTGATGCAGGTTACCAAGAATCTGATTTTCTCTGGTTATTCAGGGTTCGATGGTTTGAGTTGTGAGCCGGCCAGGAAGCACAGAGAGAAAGGAGGGAAGGGAGAAAAGAAAGTGAGGGGAAATTAGAAGAATTAGAGAGAAGAAAGAAAGCTACTGTAACTGCAGGTTACAAATGCTAAGTCAGAGTCAGTACTATCAGAGGTCTTAATGAAGATGTAAACTCTTTGCTCACCCCTTAATTATTATAGACATGTTAAGCTTTTTTTTTTTTTTTTTTTTTTTACTAGCTGCCTTCTTAGTGCAATATTATGGAGATGTTAACAAATACTACTGTGGGTAAAAAGACATTGTTTAGACAGAAGCATCTCTGCTCCCAGCGTTACAAGGAAGCATCACAGAAAAGATGAAACACTCCATTCTCACTGCAAGCTGAGGGCAAATTCACTTTTGGTCCCCAATTATGCTAACAAGAGGAAAAATGATCTTTGGCTGGAAGAATGTTGTTTCGTAATGAGCTGGCTAGGAATGGCAAAGTCTTCAAGCAATGTTTTAATTCCCTCTATACTGAGTAAGCTGTGAATTTTAGTAGTGAATGACTTAATGCATCTTCTTTTATTCGCCGTATATTGTTTGAGCATTGGCCAAATGTAGACCTTGGAAAAATATATCTTATGCTAATGCACCCATATATATTTTTTGTCATGCTGTTCTTTATAATAACTGTTGTATTTTTTTAATATGTTAATAAAACATTGTAATAATAACAACAATTTTAGTATGTAGGAATGTATTGCACTGATCAGAGAGACACATTCACCATCAGTCGTTCGTGCTCTCTTACCTGTCAACTTTTCTCCTTGCACTCGACCATAAACACTGCTCACCTCTAAGGTGTGTTTGTGTTCAAAGAGTGCTGCTGCCATAGGTTCTTTCCTTCCTATTAAGGACTACATTCCCACCATCCCTCAGGTGTGTCCTATTGGTTCCTATAGTTTTGCCTTGGTGATCATTCTATGATTAAAGCTCTCCATTGTCTCTTGCCTGGGCACAGTATGTGCTGCTTTTTCTTTCAAGATGAGAGACTCAGGTTGTCTGTTTGACAGAAGGAAAGGCAATTCAGCCAGGTAGCTTGGCTGTGTAATAAGCGATCTCTTGTTCCTGTGGGAAAGGTTGATGCAAAGCAATGCTTTCAAAGACCAATTTGCACGCGGATTGTCAAAAGTAAGGTCAAGGTTTTGAAACGCAATAATATAATTTAGAGCCATTACGATCATTATTATCTATGTGACATCAGCCAAAGGTAAACTGGCTGTGCAATTTCAATGTCGTAAGTCTTAGGCTCTTTAAAATATGTTTGCACTTCCAGCTGGATATATGGGATTTTTTTTCTCAAGCAATTCTTCAGAGAGGAATATAAATTCCACCATCTTTTAAGTGAATATTAATTCCTCATTGATAGTAAAGTCTGTTTTTATTTAAGCTGCTTGTCTTTTCTGTTGATTTTTTTCTTTCCTTTTATCTTTTTTTTTTTTTTTTTAAATCTGTGTAAAGGTGGATCTGTCTCCTGCGCTGATGGCTCGTATCATCCTGGACAGGTTTCTTCAGGGCCAGGATGGTGGAATGCGTGAGTAACACTTTTCCATTTCTCACTCTGTCCTTTCTATCATTCTCCCCATCAGTCTTAATTGTAGCACTTTGTCTTTTTAATCCCTTTCTGTTTGAGTCCCAATTCCAGTCTAGCTGCTGTATTTTCAGCCTGTCAAACCCTAATGAGAGATAGACCACATTTAGTAGTAGCTGCATCCCAGGGCACATGACTGGCAATTAAGTACTAGGAGGACCACCCACCTCTCAACTGCAGTGTGGATCAATGGTAGCTCACCTCATCAGTGTTATTTATAACACCCCTGATTTCTTCCCTCAGCCTCCTTCATCCCCCAATGCATCCATCTATCGCTAGCATTCTCCTCTTCTCTCATTCCCTTCTCTTCCTCGCTGCCTGCTGGGGTCTGCAGAGGAAATTGAGTTGAGGGAAGACTGTGGCAGAAAAAGCAAACCATTTCTAGGTAGTGCTGATGGACACACTGTGGGAGAACAAAATTACAGACACAAATATTGTTGTTGAATGTGTCAAAGATCTTTTCCAGAAATTGTGGGAATTGTTGCCCATGTGTAGTCTGGTTAGTGTCTTTCTCCTGTATTTGTCCAAAATTCCTGCGTTTTACCAGTTTTAGTCACATTGTTAATTTATAACAAAAAATAAACAACTCCCCCTCCTCTCCCCTCCCATCCCCACACTCTGGAACTTCCAGTATCACACATATGCATATTATTTTAGTGGGTCTATCCCGAGGACTTTCTGTCTGTGCAGTAGTCACTACTTTGAGAGCGAATCACATGATGTCAAAAAGACGTGCTTCCAATTTAATCAAGAAAGAGATTAAAATGGATGTGTGTTATTTTCAACTTCGCCACAGCACAGCCATTTGTCAAAGTCAAAGATGTGATTGCTTTGGACCCACCGTTATCCGCTGCCTGTCAAAATACTAGTCTGAGCTGCTTGTAGAACAGGGCATTCATCCACAAGCACTATGTCTCAGATAATGGCACACTGCATCTGTCCATCTCCATACAGTGAAAAAATGTTTTATTATTGCTAAGAATAGATTTGTACCAGATGAAATGTTCTAGAAAATCCTTGTTTAATTTTGAGCAGAGTTACAGGCGTACAGCATCTCACTTTTTTGGATGCTAGCAAATAATATCATGCTCCTTCAAAGAATAATTTCACATGCAATGCATGTTGTAAATATTTGCATAATATATTATCTAGTGAAATAGATAATATAGATAATATATATATTTAATAAATATATATATATATATATATATATATATATATATATATATATATATATATATATATATATATATATATATATATATATATATATATATATATAGTGCAGTAATTTGTTTCCACAAAGAAACAATGCAAGGATAATTGTCTTTCCTGACAATTAGCTAACAGGTTGGTTCAGTGCTATTGGCAGGCATATCTTTCATCCTCCCTCCAGCCTCGGACAGATCTCCAGTGTGCTTGTGTGTATTTGGGTGTTTTAGTCAGACTCTAGAGGAAGGGCAGGCAGGCTCACTGCAAAGATCAATAGACTTCTAAATAAGGGACATTACCTCCAACAGGGTGAGTGGCTTGCCTTTGCCTACCATTGTCATTGTTTTTTTTTTTTTTATTCCTCTTCTCTTTCCCCTTGCATTTAAGAGACACATGAATGGGGCCTTTGGGACTATGGAATATATGTACAATCACTAGTGCCGGATCAATACAGAGTTTTAAATTGTTTTTGTACCTTCCTAGTGTGTGGGGTTTTTTTTGGTTTGCTTTTTGCTTGCTTGTTGCAACCCCCTATCCCCCACCAATCCCACATCGTCCTTCCCACTAGCTACCCACACTGCCACACCTCAACATGACAACAGCACCAGCAAACTCCATCCCCCTTCCTTGAAGCAGAAATATTGGAGAGTGTTTCAGTCAAGCAAAGTGAAAGACTATCTGGTGATGCTTGTACATGAATCAATACAGTCAAAGCAGTTTTATTATGTATTGAATGCAATATCAACATCCATAATGGTCTTTGCTTCTTGTCTTTTGAAGCTGGGCAATAGGGAGGGTCACTTGTTCACCCAAATGACACAGCTTTAGTATATACACCAGAATTCCTTGCAGGGTAGTACTTTCTTTGTTTTTCTTTCCAGACTTGTATCCAGCTTATGTGTCAGGGTTGTGAATATGATAGAAAAGTTTTATGAAACTATTAATAAATTTAAAAAAAAACTTTTTTTAAGTCAAGTGGTTATTATAAGTCTTTTTATTGGTTAAATCTATGTCTGTGTTGTTTATATAAATATACTGGATACTATATTTCATTTTATGAAAGTATACATAATGATAATAAAGCAAAATTGTATTGTTTTTAAATATTCAGTAATCTTGAGGAATACATTTTTAAATGATTACATTTTTTGTAAATATTTATACATTTTCAAATATTTCAAATAAGTGATTGAAAAAAAAAAATGAAGATAATAATTTCACTGAATTTCAGTGAGCATGAATGTGCCAGCTCCACACAGAGAATCCCTCGCTGGCTGATGGATTCAAGTCGAGGACCTTCTTGTGAGGTCACAAGGGGTCATGCCTGCCAGTGCATGGGTCCTCTCATGTACTCCAGCTTCCTCTTACAATCCAAAGATGTGCATCTTAGAGTAACTGGTGATTGTAAATCGGGTATACATGAGAATATGAGCATGAATGGTCATCTGTCGCTGAGTTAGCCCTACGATTGACTGTCAACCTGTCTAGGGTGTGCCTCATTTCACGCCCTGATACCTGGGATAGGCTCCAGTCCCATCGCAACCCTGAATTGAATAAGCAGAAGAAGATAAATGAATGTGTGGATGGATGGAATTGCAGTGAATCCCAATAACGACAATTACTAGAGCTGAACTAACAATTGTGCATTTTAAAAGGTTTGCATTAACAGGAGTGGTAGGGACAGATCTCATGAAAACATTATTATAGGCACAGCTAACACATCTCAGCCCAATGAAAAGTTCTGTAAATGAAAGTATAACACTGCAGAGAGCTATACTGTCATTCCTATTCTGTATCATTAGATACAGGATGGTCGTATCTAGTAGTAGATTCAAAGTCACAGCAAAAACACTGGGGGAGCCAATGCTCTGTCTTCTCCCCCTCCTGCTATCTCTTCATCTTTCTTTCTATTCCTCCTTTGACAGGAGTTGATGTGCCTCTAGATTTAGACATACTTTTTGAGGAGGCAATTTTGCTAGCTATTTGACCTTTTCCATTTTCCCAAGGCCCAGCTCCAGATTAGATTGCTACTCCATGTTTTGTAACTATGTGATTCGACCGCCTTTAAGATTTATTGTCACATTCCTTTACAGAAGCCTTGTACGCAAGGTTATAAATGTCCCGTGTTTGATGTTAACACTGTGAGAATCTTAGTGTCTACTATGATCCTTTGGTTACTTGACAGGATTTATAATAACTTTAATGTTTCTCAGATAAAACGTGTTGATAACTGAATATTGTACTGGGTCTTATCGGAGCAAATTTTCAACGTGGTCGCTATGACTGTTATGGTCCCTTCCCTCTTGTGTTCAAGTGCTCCTCTCTTCTCTGTTACACCTCTCCAATGTGCAGAGATGGGGTGTGTATATGAAGCCTTTTTTTTTTTCCAAATAATGAGAGCAAGGGCACTTCATTAGCAAGACGGGAGGGAGTAAGGAGGCAAAGACAGCATGAGTGTTAGTGTGTGCATGTGTGTATGCAAGGGGGCGGTTGCGAGGGAGGTAAGCAGCACCGTGGTACTTCACTTGACATGTATACTAATTACTCCTTTTCAGCAGAGAAGCTCCAGTCAGCCTCTGCCACAGTCTAATGGCCTGACCTGGGAAGCCTTTCTCCATAGCAGTGCCTCCCCAGATCTACTATTACTACACACACACGCACACATACACAGAGAAATGTGGAGTCTCATCTCACCGCTATCAGAAGGAATCAGGTGGAAGCAGATCAGTTCTGCCCCAGTAACCTCTTCAGGGACCGAGTTCCTCTTGCACAGGAGATACCACCTCATATCATCAACTAGCACCTACACACCACCACAGATAGTTTAAAAAGAAACACATACCCCCCACCCCCTATCTCCCACTCTCTCTCTTTCCCATCTTCTGTTTTTTTTTTCTTTTTTCTTTTTTCTCAGTGCGGGGGGATAAATTTAAAAGGAGTAAATTGGAAAATCAAATGAGGGCTTTAGGCAACCGCAGAGATTTGCAGAGCTGTCGGCCAGTGTTGGAGAGCCTCATCCATCATGTCCCACAAGTAGTCAATTCCTCTAGTATCTGTAAATGTTTTCAGATATTAGCCAATTTATATGCTCCGAGATTCATCATGGAAAATCAGCTTTAGCGGTGCACATTATCAGGACCTGTCTCTCCCTTGCTCCATGAAGTTTGATGAACGAGTGCCCCTCCACAGCTCAATGGCTTGCGCATGGGGAGTGTGCGGGGGTGTGGGCATATAGAGGAAATGGGTAACTGCCCACCCCCACCCGTGGAAAATAGTGGGTTTTTTAATTAATAAACAAACTTACAAAGGAGCTCATCAGTGTCAGGGGTAATAACAATCGTCATCCGTTATTGTTTATTACAGTCCTCCCTCAACAAATGTTGCTATTTAATGAGGTTTCTCTCTGTTTTTTTGTGTTTGCGATAATGACTTTTTCACCCTAGTGGAGAAAAGAGGAGTCCCAGTAGTTACAAATGAAAGAAAGTAAGCAATGAGAAAACATGCCAAGGTTCTGTTGCCGTTACCTTGCCTTATATAGTTTATCTTGTTTTGGAGTTGCATATGAAAACAGGTCTGTGATTTGTTTACACTGGTTGTTTTCTTTAGCAAATCCCTATGGAGGTGTAGCGTTTCACATCTATTATTCCCCTCTTCTCTGTTCCTTTTGTTCAGATGTTGACGGTGTGATATGGTGCCTTAGTCAGAATTTATACCAGCATGGGACAATTACAGTAAATTTGGTGAATGTTTACAAGGTGCAAAGTTGTGCTGCAGGGCTTTGTTCTCCGTGTCTAGTGTTCTACAGATTGTGCTTTTTATTTTTCTGCACGCATTTTTATGTGTGCCTCTGTATGTGCTTTGAGCGTGTGTATTTAAAGAGCATTGCTTGTGTGTTTTTGTTTCTGTGTGTGTATGTTTGCATATAGCAGAAAGGAGCTCAGGGTGTTCTAGAGGTGTGCTGCCGTGCAAGGCGGGGGCGTCTTTAATAAATGTATGCTGATGTTGGAGGCTGCAACGATGCGAAGGATGCAAGGGCCCTGTTGTTATTTACTGCTGTGTTTGTGCACAGCAGCGAATCCTGGGCCTGCAAATGGCATTACAGCCCGTGATGAATGAGCATTAGGGTAAACTCATTTTAAAAGCATCCTGATTTATTAGCAGCCTGGCCTTCCATTTTCATCAGGTCAATGCTTGGCTGAAATTCCACAATGTCAGCGCCAAGGTCACCTCTTTATGGCTATTTTTAACCCCATCCCTCAAAAAGCGCAGACGAAAGAGATCCTGGCACTTATTATGGCCGTCGACAAAAAAATATCAAAGAGCTTGAGAGACAGGGAGAATTCTAGTCCTGAAAGTGTGTGTTATGTGAGAGACCAAAATGTGGTGGTGGTCAACCTCCAATTATGAGTGCTAGTAAGACAAGAGCTTTAATGGCTAACGTTTGCCTTCAGGGAGGTTTATTACACACTACTGTTTTGCAGAAACAGCGTCAAATCTATAAAAAGACCATTAGGAAGAGGGAAAAAATCAATCAAAATGCCATTAAAGTGGAATAAGTTGCCAATATTGCTGATGTGGTTGCGAGTCCTTTGATTTTCCTTCAGATTATTAGGCACAGTCGAGTAGTGACTTTGTTAAGGGAAACCAGTGTTGTTGGGGAGTAATATGTCTCCTGGCTTCATAAAGTTTGCTGCCTCATATTTCCCACTTTATTGATTATCCATTATCATTTGTCATGAGGTGTCCTAACTCAAGGGGAAAATATAACCCTCTTTCTTCACCACCACCCGCATTGCACAGGAGCATGGTATGGATCTGCGTGTGAAGGTACCAATCTCTGAGAAAAATGAGCAGAGAAATAAAGCACTGCCCTGTGCCTTGCAGCTCTAAGAGGGAGTGTGGGGTTATGGGATGGGCTGGGGGAGCACTGTAGCTGGCTGGGAGAGACTAAAACAGAAAGCAGGTTGCACAAAACAAGAAAAAAAAGCCTATGCAGGAAAAGATAGAGACGAAGAAAGGAGGAGGCGCTTTTGTTCTTCTTCCACCTCCTCTACTTTTTATTTCATCATAAGGTAGATGAGGGATCATAGCAATGGCTATCTTGTTTGTGGTAGTTTCCCTAAGTGTGTAGGGGATGAGAGCATAGAAAAGAACAGCCCGCCTTTCTGTGGGTGAAATTTATCTAACAGAGGCCTAATGATCCAGATGGCTATCAATTGATTTATTACATTTTTTTGTAACTTTTTTTTTCAAAATTGTATTAATTTTTAAATAAGCCATCGTGTCTATAACCGTTATATACTGTGTGCAGTTTCCTAGATGCGCTTGAGAACTTCTGCGATGTTGGTATAGGCACCATCCATGCCTGAAATGTGAATAGAAACATTCCATGTATTGTCTCTAATGCGCCAAATCTGTCAGGCGCATGTGTACATATATATCACTAAAATGGTGTGCCTCAACCATTTCGTCACACGGTGATACAATCCATTTAATCCAAATCTTTTTTAAGAAATGATTTAAGGAATTTTTTGCTGTTGCAGTAACAGCGAGTCGATTCGCAGGCCTCCCTTTCTGATTTATAATGTTAGTAGAGAAAGAATAGGGATGAGAGATGCAGAATAGTCAGCGTTCATAACATAGATAAACTACATGAAGCGCCTGTGCTTTGGACTGAAACATTTATCTATAGAAAATCTGTACAGACACCAAGCAACCATCTAATAGGCTAGTGCAGAAATACTGTACACAGGTTGGTGGGTTAGAGGCTGTCCGGGCTGGTTTTGTTTATAACACTAACTGTTTTGCTTGGTTAAATCCAGCAGTTAGACATTTTCTTGAATAAAATTATGTGGTCATTATTTTTTTCCTTTTTCTGTCTGTCTCCCTCTCTTCTTTTGCTGTCTTATTCTCAGCATCTAAATCAGTCCTCAACAGCATGCTGAAGGAGCCATCTTTAATTCCAGACCAAATTTTGGCCAGTAATGTCTACCAAGTAAGGGTTTTAAGTTTTGTACTTAATTAACATTTTCCAGAGAACTGTTTAATTGCCTGAGAGAGATAATTCTATTTAATTATATGAAATGTTATTATTTTAAGGCATTTGCTGTGTCTCTACTTAACAAATCGAAAATTGCTTGTGCACAGTGAGTTTTCAAAAAAAAATGGTACTCTACACCTGGCTGACAGACGGCATCAGCGGCTCATGTTTGCTGATGAGGTCACGTGAGAGCCGGCGGTCATGCCTGCCAGTCTGCCAGCATCTCCTGTGTTTTCTCCTTTTTTTTCCAGCAGTGTATGGGCTTCCCTCACCTCCCTTACACCCACCCACCCTTTTGGCATGCCATAATATTTCTTCCCCCTCTTTTCAGTGCACAATAAATGACTGCTGTTATGGACCGCTGGTAGACTGCATCAAACAGTATCCTATCCCATAAAATTTTAAGCCTGAAATTGACGAGGAGCTATTGAAGGGGATGAGATGTGTCTGGCTTCACCTGACATAAAAGTTCTGCTTCACAGAGGAAGTGTTTCATCCTGCCTGCCATCCCAGTATCATCCATACAGGGGCTGGAAGGCGATGGAGGGAAGAGGAGGAGAGGATAGGCTGATCTAAATGCATCTCTATGTGCATGCTGTGAATCAGACCCAATGTTCTATGATACAAGAAAAGAAATATAATTCAAAAGCTTTTTGGAACAGGAAAAAGAGCTAATACTGTTACATACATATTTTTAAATGCATTTTAATTCATTACTATTTACTTCTGATCATTTTATTCAGATGTGCACTACAGAAAGTTTTTACTACATTTGTCTAACTTAAGGTAATGATTTATTATTCATTTATAATTAATTTGTCCACCTCATTACTATTCTTCCCACACACTTTCCCCACCTACACACACCCCCTACTCGTCTAGTAGGACCTTGGCTGTAGGGGCAGAATGGAGCTCGGGCTTTTTTAGGGGCAACCAGCTGGGTAGCAGATCAGCTATTTTCAAGGGGAGGAGAATTATTTGAGTCGGTGTACACGTGCACGTCCGTATGTTATTGTGTCTGTCCAGGCTTTCTTGCCCGTGGTGGGGCTGTGTTGTTCTGTTCATAGCCAGTCAACCTTGTCCCTATACCCTCCTTCCACATCCCCCCCTTTTTTAACATTCTGTGGCAGTCCTCTCAGTGTCAACTTAAAATCAGTTACTCTGCCACAGAGAGTTCATTATAACCACCGCACTGCTATGTTCTTTCAAAGAAGTCATCCACACATTGAATCAGTTGCGTGGCTACTAGTTACAGTATGTATAAATATATATATATTTATGTAATTAGAAACCATTTTGGTTGTTTTAGTTTTTAGAGGGTAATATATTTCTATAAGAGCTTCTTTTTCTCTTTCAAAAATAAAACCATCATCATTGCATATTTCCTTTTATGTGCCTTCAAGCTTTGCACATCCTTAATACAATATGGCATTTATTCTAAAAGTATTTTTTCTTCAAATATTATAAAGTACTAGGCAGAGTATCTCATCTATGCACTTTATGCATTTTGTCAAATTGGCATTTGTTTTTTCTTTCTTATTTAGATAATGCACTTCAGAGATTTGTTGTGAAAGCAGATTTAACTTGACCCGAACTCTGATTATGCTTTACTGTATGTTAGCATGAGGAGAAATGGCTTTTGCTTTGCATAGTAAATCAATAATGGAGAAGAGCAGATTCTTAACTGTAACTGATGGTAAACATGTGCATGTAGTCGAGCACTGAATTTTCTGGTTTCCAGAGAATTTAAATTTAAAAGTCAAATGTATCGTAGTATTGTTGGAATCCTTGACTCGATTCTCAGCGCCATAGGCCATGAGCATGAAGTGCTGCTCCGGGAAAAACTGAAGGAGAAGAACCTTTCCTTTCTGGGTAAGCCATCCTTTGACCTTCTCATTACATTTTAACATGAAAATGAAAACAACTCATAAGTCATATTGGAACCATATGGACATTCTTGACTGCAAATATTTTTTATTTATTTATATTTCTCTCTGCGTAAAGCTGTTTTGGGGGATTTGATGTTTACAGAAAATCAAACAGATTGTTCTCTGAATATCATCTATTTTTCTGATGCTATTGCCATATTCAGATCAAATTAAATGAAGATGGAATGTTCAGGTATGGAACTATAGAATCCCCCCATCCTCATATCACCCCATCCCATCATCATTTACTAGGTCAGATGAGTGATGAAGAATAAGAATCATTCCCACTGTCATTACGGCCGTATCATTTATTTGGACATGGAGTGCTGACCTTTCTTCAGGGCTGTACAGAAGACTGTTCTAAAGCTGTCAGAGTTCGAGGGGCACGAGGGCCACTGAAGCAGCCTCACCCCATCTGATAAATGGATTGGAAATAAGCTACCCAACAGCAGGAATGGACCATTAATTTTAATCAAAGCTGATCTAAAAAAGGCGATCAGAGCCACATGAGAATGTCAACAGCCCAGTGGGTGTGTACAGAGGTTCCCATCCTTATACACACAAACACATTTCTACACCGACATTACAACATCTTGGATGCCTGGATATCTACCACAGTCCTCTGGTAGCCTCGGTGACCTCTCTCTGCTCTCTTTCTTCATCCGTGGCTGATGCTACCTCCTCACCAGCACTAACCGCCACCCTCCATCTAGCCACAATTCTCTTCCATGCCCCATTAGTTGAGCTTGGCTGAAGACAAAGAGGCAGGCCTTTGGAACTGAATGACCTGGTCAGTGAGATTTAATGGAGAAATCAGGTGTTGGAGGGATAATGGCTAGAGCACGCCAGAAGTCAAGGACAATGGCTACAGCTTGTGCAGGCAAGGGTCAGGCTTGCAGAGACTATAATGCCAGCCTTGTCTCCTTTCTGTATATTTTATAAAGCACTGCCAAAGAGAGCAATACTGTAACTGGAGTTTAGAGTATTTTGTGCAGTGACAGCAAATACGTGGCAGATGTAGATAATGGTTTAACTACACTGGCTGTGCTCTACTGCTGTTTTTCTGCTTTGCTCACGCTGAGCGGTTTGTTGCCAGCATCTTTGTGAAAGCAGTTAGATCAGCAGCCTGTGACTGATTGTTCATATAGAAGGTTACTGCAAAACAGCAAGCATAACATTTCTAAACTTTTATTTTCAATAGATGAAAACCACCTGAGAACTATGGGCTACGACAAAACACCTGATATCATCCTGGAGGTTCCAGTTGGTTAGTATTTACATTATGAATGTAACCTCACTTCAACCTTAGGCATCTCTATTGTCAAAAAGTTTTGGGATTTTTTGTATATGACTGAAGAAACAAACAAAACAAATGACCTCGTCTAACTAGTTTTCTTAGATTTGCTGTGTTTTGTTATTTATGAAAAGCTGTGGAAGGACACATTGTACACTGGATTGAGAGCAAAGCCTCTTTTGGAGATGATCAAAGCCATCAAACCTATCTCAATGAACAATTCTGGAGCTATTGGAACAGGTGAGCCCTCTCTTTTTTTTATCTGTTTTGTTTACTTTATTGGCCATCAAAAATTTGCCAATGTTATTTTATCAGTTTTCATATTCTTTATAACTTCTCCTTTTTCACTAGAAACTATGATCAGGTATTCTCAGTTGTATAAAGAACTCCTATCTCTGTCCGCCAATGCTTACCACTTCCTCTCTGGCAAAGGCCACTTTAACCACAGGATTCCACATGCTACAGCTGCACATTACACTACTTCCACATTCACTCATGTTCTCTGAGACCTTTAGAGCCTGAATGGTCTGCCTGTGAGCTTGATTGTTTTGTTGAATAAACACATTGTGTTGGAAGGGAAGCAAGGAAATGGGTGACTAATGCCTGGCCTCTGTAGCATGAGAACTTTTGGACAGGAGCAGGTCCTGACGGTGGCGGGACAGAGGTATATGTGCGCAAATACATTTTTCAATGAATCTTAGAAGTGATAACCTGTAGAACATACTGACCTATTTAATATTTAATTTGAAACCTGAATAGAGTGGACACAAACAAGTGGAGTCCACATCTTAGCCTTGGCTGACACCAGGTTCCCATATCACACTATAGCCCTGATCCTCCACTAATGGTTAGCTGACATGGTGGTGCAGGTTCTCGTCATTGATGCTGTGTTCAGTGAATTATGATAACTTTATTTGTATGGCACTTTTCAAAACACAGAGTAACAAAGTACTCAACAACGGTCACCTTAAGGTGCTTTATATTGTAAGGTAAAGACTCTACAATAATAGAGAGAAACCCCAACAAGTAAACTGCCCCCTTTGAGCAAGCACTTGGTGACAGTGAGAAGGAAAAACTCCCTTTTAATACAAACAAACTTAAACCAGGCTTGGGATGGGCAACCATCTGCCATGACCAGTTGGAGGTTTCTCTCATGTCTGTATGTTTTATTAGAATGTGTGCAGTACGTGATATAATGAGATTAGTTTGAGATTTGATGTATTCATAGAATTAGGTCTAAAAGTATTTGGACAAGGACACAGTTTTTGTAATCTTACCTGTGAACACCACCACACTGGATTTTAAATCAAACAGTCAAGATGTGACTAAAGTCCAGGCTTTCAGCTTTGATTCAAGAGGTTTTTAAAGTGTTGCATTGGACTGGACTGGTTCTTATATAGCGCTTTTCTACTCTGAGTGACTCAAAGCTTTATACTACTAATTCATTGACCCAATCACGCCCATTCACACAAGCTTGTTAAGTGCTTACTATCTAACATTCATACACATTCGCACTCCGATGGATGCATCGGAGAGCAACATTGGGTTAGTATCTTGCCCAAGGATATTTGGCATGCAGACTGGAGAAGCCTGGGATTGAACCACCAAACTTCCGGTTAGTAGCTGATCTGCTCTACCACCTGAGCTCATCGACACTGTGAAATGCTATCTGATCAGTGTTGCAGCCAAATGCTGATCTTTCTGGAATACTTGCAGCTTGGTTGGATAGTTTGTGTTAGTCTGAGCCTTATATATTTGCTCATATGTGTCTTTCATTTATATTCACAAGGCTAGCCTTGTCCAAGTATATTAAGGTACTGACAAAGTAGATCCTATCACGTCAGCCAGCAGCCAGTCAGACAAACATTCTGTGTCAAAAAAAAGAGAAAGAAAAAATGTCAGACCCCACCTTTTTCAGCACCCCTGTAAATTTTATTTGACATTTACAACTGACATTTCAAAATGTGCCCTAATCTTTCTGTTAGACCATACGCATGATCATTTGAAGTACAAGTGTAGTCCCTGATGTTCATGTTTGTGTTTGGAAACGCAATGACACAAAACTATAACCTGTTAAGAGCAGCAGGTGAAAAGAGAACGGTATCATTACCAGCTGAAGGCAAGGCTGTTTTTTTTTTTCTTCCTCTGATTCTGTTAACATGTCAAATGCGGTCTTGGAGACTTTTGTTTAAGCAGTGGCAACAACAAAGACAATGTTATAACAGTCCTCTGTTAGTCGGTCTGGATGTGTGATGTTGACCGTGTGTTAGTACTGCAGCATGTACAGAATTAGGTGTTTTGTTGAGATCCAAAAGAAGGTTGAATTTAGCCATAGGTGTGGGCTGTTTAAATCTTTATCTGTAAGTCCCTACTCCATATACATGATATAATGTCTCGTGTTTTTGGTTTAAGAACTCATTCGCTTTGGGCTAGATAGTGTCTACTTCACTTTTCACTTCATCTCTCGTTAGTTGGTCTCAGTTTTAAACATCAACCAACAGGTTGATGTTTGAAATATTTGTCCATTCCTTCATTGCTCAGTCCGATTTCAAAGTCTAAACTGTTCAGTTTCCTTTTTGACCACCCTAAGAAGGGCACACCAGTGTTTGTAATTACTTCATTGCCTCTGATTGACATTTCCAGTGATTTGCTTATTTTTCATGAATTCCTTCTTTGCTTTAACTGAGCTGGGTTACCCAGAACTGTGTTAATTGTTCTTCACTTGCCCTCAAGCATTACAGAGTAAGGATGTGTTTTTGTAGACGGATAGAAAAAACATAACTAATTTTCCCTCCAAAGCCCTCACCAACTGCATTTATCATCCAAACAATAGTCTTGCCAACACAGTAACCCCATAATGAACCCCTCTTCAGTGGAGTGAGGGGTAATGACGCTTCACCTACAATGCTCCCAAGAAAAAAAGGGAGAGGACAGAAAAAAATGGAGAGAAAAAGACAGTCTTCTGCAGAATCAGACAGCGTGTTCAGGCCCAGTGCCTGGATGAGATGGTGAAACAGCAGCTATTGGTGTCTTCCAGCCATCAATCTTAGCTGGTGGCGTTCCAGAGCCAGTGAGCCCTCTGCTCTGACGGATGTTCAGATAATTGAGTGATCCATCTCGCGCAACTATCAGAGTTGCATAAAAATTATTCACCTGCTGGTGAATATTAAACACATAATGAGCCTCTTGTGTGTTTTAGGAGAAGTGGATAAGGTTAAACACAGCATGTAATGAAATATGGACTCTTATGTGGTAGCACCTTAACTGCCCCTAGTTGATTATGGTGTACTTATATCAATTACGCTTGGCAAAGTTCCTTCCATAACTCTGCAAGCAGCAATTCAAATTCTGCTCATGCATTTGTCTGTCTAGGTGATCTCATACTTTAACCCAGAGACCATGGAGATAATTATTATTTGCTGACTTCTTGATTATTTTTGCACTCAAATATTGTTGAAACATTTGCCTAAGTTATGTAGCAATAGAGATTTGGGTTTTTACCATTTGACTGAATAATAGTTGACATAATTGGATAATTAAAAAAAAAAAAAGATTATAGTTGCTTATTAAACCACTTGTAAAGGCTACTTTTTTAGAATGAAGGACAAAAAAAACTAAATAAGTTTTTATACTTGATGGAGCTAAAGTTTAATGACTGGTCCTTATTATCAGGAGAGCAGAAAACTGTCAAAACTACAATATATCCAGGCTCAGAAACCTTATTGCATGCTTATTGTTAACCCGCCAGACTTTTTAGGTTCATTGAGGTAGCTAATTGCCTTTATTGCAGCATTTGTGTACCAAAAATAATCAATCAGGTAAATCAGAAAATGCAGCAACCAAGAAAATAACTTTTTTATCGTGTTTTAGTAGATTAAACATGTAAATGTGGGTATAAACGAGTGTAATTCAGAGCTCATTCATCACTTTTCAGCTCTTTCCCTTCGTTCCCTTTCCCTATTCCACCCAGCCGAACACAATGAAAAGCCTGTGTGACAATGAGCGTGGACGCCAGCTCCCCTCCTCCCAAAGTAAATCAGCTGTGCGATTCGTAAACTGCAAATGTGTCAGAGTTGAAAATGTTAGCACTCTTAATGGAGGCTTGAAAAGGTTAGATCTGATAAAAAGCTGTCAGACGTCCACAAAAAATGATTTATAGCAAAATAATGGGACAGTATGCCTCATTTCTCCCTCATATGAAATGGGGGTTAAGACTTTTGGGTTTGCTATTATACATCATCTGGCTTGACCACTTGCAAATTTAGTGAGACTTGAATGCACACACACGCATTATGTTTCATCTGGCTCCTTTGTTTCAGTAATTTTGAAGGCCTTGTTGTAATGCTGATAATTTATGTCCCCACATAATTAGTAGCATAAAATTCTCATGCACCAAAAGCACTCATTGATCTCCATTCTTATCTGCTTATGTGCGTCCTTTGTTACACTTTTGTGATGGAGGAAATGGTAAAACTAATGAGAAAGTCATAATTCCAAAGTCTCACCAGACCGTTCCTATAACATCAATAATCTGCTTGCTGACACATTACCTCATAAATAGACATACCTAAGATTTTTGTGATGTTTTATATTAGTTGACACGACCACAATTAGAAATCTCCAGTTCTTTGTGAACTTTTTCTAGTTATATCAAGGGCTGCATGCTGTAGGTTTTACAGATGAAATTGCGCATTAAGCCTGTTAGTCTCAGAATGTCAATCCATTTGCGACATCAAATTAATTTCTCGATTCATGATATTGAACATTGCCATCCATTTTTAATGGACATGTCCATCATTTTTGTTGAACTTTCTAAAGCCTTGATAACAGGAATGCCTAATTAGTGGAGTGGAGTGTAATGTTACAGTGGGTGTTTGATATGCCCTATTGAATTCATCAGCTGGTACTTTTAGCTTTAAAATATGTAAGGCCTTCTTCTAGATATTTGGATCCATAAATGTAGTTTGTGTTCACTTAAATAACTGTTTATATATGACTGAAGCTGCTCATATTTAGAAATAATGTTTTGACCTTGTGTGCTTCTGCACATGTTTTCTCGTATAGTCCCAGTTAATGCAGTGGCATAAGAGTATTAAAGGCCTCAGCATCTAGGACATCACAAAGGAAGAGCAGATAGGGGATGTCACCTGAGCGAGGGAGCCCAAAGGCCGTGGCTGCCACTGATTCAATGAGGCTGGACATTACAAGGCCATCCCTGAGGACAGGTACTGGCGCTTCTG